CCTGTTGCAACGCCGCCTTGATGACGAGAAACGCTTTGTCATGCTGCGCTGTCCACTGCCATGGGACATTGTCCTTCGCAAGCTCACTTATCGGCAACACCAACTTGGCGTAGTTGGCGATGAACTTGCGGTAATACCCTGCCATACCCAGGAAACTCAACAGCTCCTTGCGATTCGTGGGAGTAGCCCACTTTTCAATCGCGCGCACTTTGCTTGCGTCAACTTGCAGGCCATCAGCAGAGATGGTGTGGCCCAGAAAGTCAACCTTGTCCACAGCAAACGCACACTTCTCAAGCCGCGCATACAGTTTTTCCTTGCGCAGGACTTCTAAGACAATGCGCAAATGCTGAGTGTGTTCCTCCATAGACTTGGAGTAAATGCAAATCTCGTCCAAGTACACAACGACAAATGGGAATTTGTCGAAAAGTGAACGCATGAGGCGTGACCAAATTCCTGGCATCCCAGCCATTCCCATCGGGGCAACGCACCACTGCAATATCTCCTTGTGCGTGCGAAATGCCGTGTACTTGCGTGCATGTGGAATCACAAGCATTTGATGGTACTCGGACGCAAGGTCGATCTTTGTAAGGACCACGCATCCAAACATCTTGCTGAACAGGTCCTCGATGTTGGGTAATGGGATCTTGGGGATTTCCGACTGGGAGTTGACATGCCTGTAGTCAAGAACCCAACGGATTGGCGTGTTTGCCGTTGCCGTCTTCAACCACACTTGACGTGACGGCATCTTCCCGTTCTCATCCTTCTTGGGGACACCAAAGATGTTGGAAATCCAATCACTCGTGGACAACTCAACCGATCCTTTAGCCTTCAGCTTATCCACGAACTTGTCCAGTGACTCCTGTTCGACCTTTGCGAGTCGAAATGGTGCCCGATTCTGAGGCTTTGCGTCCGGCTTCAACTTCAAATCGAACTGCATCCCTCGTTCCGGTGGCAACACATCTGGGAGCTCCTTCGGAAAGACGTCTTTAAACTCGTCGAGTACAGCTTTGATCTCAGCTGGGTACTCTTGAGGTTGCGCTTGGACATGGCAAAGCTTCATGATCCATTCTGGTGGTTCAGCAGCCGACGCATTGACATCCACTACCTCGTCAACCGACACGATGTCGAGCTTGCGCCAATCGATGACTGGATTGTGCTTATTGAACCATGGCTGGCCGAGGATGACGTCAAACGCTTTGTCCTTCAAGTCCCATTCCGTGAGCTGCGTGTCATGAAACGTGAACGTGCCAATCTGCACCGTTTTGTTTAATTCGCGCGTCTCTGTCAGTGGTGACACTAGTCCGTCGTAGCCCGAGATGCGAACAGCCTTGGAGCGAATGACATGTTTGCCCAACCCGACTCGACAAAGCGAATTCGTTGCTCCCGAGTCAATAAGAATTTTCACGACTTTTCCATTTATTACGCCAGACTTAATCATCAATGGCGCTCTGCCACTCTCCGGACTTCGTCCGACTTGCGCTTTCGACACCGCAACGCCTTCAGCACCGTTTTCTTCCATGGCGCCAAACGTGATGTACTCCACATCTTGGTCGCTTGGTGCTTCTTCGACTTCTAGGTTGTTTTGCTTGCCTGGAGGTGCATCATCCGAGATCTTCTTCTTCGGCTTTTGGCACGTAGGCGCAAAGTGCCCAAAACTTTGGCAATTGAAGCAGCGCAACTTGCTGCGGTCCTTCTTCCGGGCTTTGCGAACGTTGATGTTGTCGACCTCCATGTCCGCCGACTCGTTCGACTGTGGAGGAGCAGGAGGTGGATCCTTTCTCATCTCCGCTCGACCACCGCGGATGGACTTGTCATGACGCTGCGACAACGACACCACATGTGCCCGCTCGTACTCCAGAGCTACCTTGATCGCACTCGTCAACGTCTTGCACTGCCGGTACTTCACTTCCTCCCGGGTTTTGAGCTTTAAACCACGGGTAAAAAACGTCACTTTGTCCAACTCTGACATCTCTTGAACGTCTGTGCACACTCTGCAGAACTTCTCCACGTACTCGAACAAGTCCCTGCACGAGGGCTGCTGAAACGTGAACAAGCGATCCCGCAAGCGCTCTTGGAAAGATCATCAGGCTCGAATTCCTCACGCAGTGCTTGTTCGAAGTCGACAAGAGTCCTGAAGCCACCATTGACTCGCCGTGAAGCCAATTCCTGGTACCAAGCCGCAGCCTGTCCTTGGAGGTTCGCCACAACCATCGCAAGACAGCGCGCTTCGACCACTTCGTTTTGCTCGTAGTTCAAGTTCTTTGCCATGAAAAAAGTCTTCACACGGTGAATGTACAGCCCAATGCTTTCATTAAGGTGCCCATGGTACACAGGCATAGACAGTCCTTCTACTCGTCGTTCCGTGTCCCGTTGCTGTTCGACCGGTTGTTGGTTCGCTAGTTGGTTCATTGCATCCTGCAACTGTTGATGTAAAAGCAACTGCTGCTCTTGATGCGCTTGCTGGTCCCTCATCATTTGTGTGTGCGTCTGTGCTTGAGCTTCTAACAGCTGATTGATCATCTTCTGCTGCTGCTCCATCGCACCCATCATACGCACAAACGCTTCCTCCATATTGTAGAAAAAAGAAGTACTTGATTAAGGATTAGCAAAAAACTCGGCCAACTCTTCTTGTTCGCTGAGCTTCGGTTTCTTCTCTACAACCGGAACCGGTTTTATCAAATATGCGCTGTTGATTTCTTCTGCCAAAAAACTTGACGCAACTGCCAAATTTGTCTGGACTTCAACGATTTTGTCCAAAACGCACTTAATCCGGATACTTCCGCCTGTCCCATTAAGTCGGACCAGATCCCGCTTGAAACGCTCGTTGACTCGCTGGGTTGCTTGGAGCTTCTCGATGAGGCTCTTTCTTATCCCGTCCAAATTATCAACGTCAGGCTCGTCCAAAAATTTTATGGATAGTCTTAAACGAAACTAGGCGGTCAGGTACTTGATTAGCCTTTCGCTTAAGATCGTTTCGCTCGCGCTTGATTTCGCGTCCACTCGCAACCGCTTCTTTCGCCGCCTTCTTGAGCTTCTTTTCCGCCGCCGCCTTGTTCTTGCCCATAAAATGGGGGTCCGGTGACAATAAACTTCACACGCAACAAATGTCGTTCTTAGCTGTCGACTCAACCTCTTCCGACCCTGATACTGTATACTAAAGAGAGTGCCGTCGTAATAAAAGAGCACCTCAGCGATCACTAACTCAACACTAGCCGCCGTGAAAGGTCGCAACTGAACCTTCGCCTCAGCTAGATAGAGTAACCTTACAACCTACGCGCTATGCCCCTGGAAGTAAGTCCTTGTTGTCAACCAGGAAGTGCTACCAACTGTAGGGAGTTGATAACGCAGAGGAAATTGTAAAACTGATTGATTGGCGTTATCTACATCTACATGCATGACTACTGTGACTATACTATATCTAATGCTATATATACGTGCGCTCTGCAGAAGGAACTTCTGGTGTCCATGGCCGAGCACGCCGCACGCCAATCGAGCTTGGTCGTAAACTGACGTCAACAGTGACGTCTGTTCTGATTGGTCGATAACCCTATGACGCCAATGGAGTGACGTCGCTACAAATATCGTGAAATCTATTGGCCGAGGCGCCATTTTAGATAGTCGCAATGAATATATTATTTCGGAAGCCTGGTGGGTAGTGGTCTTGGCTGGTGGTGGGGCGTCGCGGACAATCCGAGTGAGCATGTAGTCGCGCCATACGTCCTTCACAACACCAAGGCTGCGACCGAGAGCCTCGGCAACCTGTTTGGACGATGACGTGGCGCCTTGGCTGCGGAACCAAGCATACAAACGGAGGATGTCTAATCGCTCATCTCTGGTCAAGTGGTGATGCCTGGCAAGGTAAAACATTTATCAACTTCGATATCTATTGCCTTCACTGTTAAACTCAAAATGGCGTGGCATTGTGTAGTATTGCATCTATTATTGCCCGTGTTGTCGACTATTTTTATGCTTAACAGTGTATAAATACTCAAGGTCCCTCATATGCATATATAGATTGAGCCTCTATAAAATAATTTTGCATAAAGTTACATAAGTTATTTGTTTTCTGGATGAAAATGGACATGCATTCCAACTCTCTGGCCAGTATATTTCAAGAGATATTTGTTTTCACGGCATTCGGTTGATACAGTGATACGAATAACTGGTTCAGCTGGTCAACGTACAAAGCCTCATACTAATTGAGTTAGTATTGCCCGAGATATTGGAAAAAGATAGTTACAGTTAGTTGATGTCGTCGACTGTTAATTCAGACTACCCCGTGACTACCGTGAGGCTTTCGACCCCTGCAAAGCCCATGGTTGTGGACGGCAAGATGCCAAAGAACGCCGTCGAAATCGTGCCGGTCGCCCACGTCGCCACATGTACTTGCCGCGGGCCTTGACGAACGAGATGCATATAGTCGTGTACAAAGAGTATCGCGGAAACTCCCAAGAGAATGGATTAAAAAAAAGCTTAAGCCAATCAACTCACGTCCTGTCAAATTTGCCCATTCAAACGATTGACCCTCCGCATTAGGCAAAACCACATATCTACTCATATTTGTATAGTATAGTTTGTGCCAGCTTAAATGAGATCAAGTGGCTGAATGCTCTTTGCGAAATGAGTCACAAGTCCAAATTTGGGTGCAATGCACAATATATACAATGCAATACAGTACTGTACAGTCATCCCCCGATTTTTGCAAACTGGTATAAAATAATATCCTACTTCGAAGTATGTAACACGATACGATATTGGATATAACAGGTACAGTAGTGGGTCAATTTGAAATTCAAACGACGCTAATCCACGGGTTTCACTTTTCGGCCGCTTTCGGCGCATCCGGATAAATAAATGACTTTGGGTCACAGCCATTTCATTAGACAGATTTCGCAAACGTCAGTTCTATTTTATCCGCAACCTATCCTCTCAATTTCGGGGGTTCTCGTTTTAGGCGCATGCGCCTCTGGCGCATTGTCCGGTTAAATTGTATCCGGCAATCATCCTAATTTCGGGACTATTTGGGGAATTACAAATGTCAAAAATAGGCAAAGCAGAATTCCTCAATCGTGTGGCAGCGGGGATGAAGGATGCCAAGCGTAAGCGGGATTACAACCGAGAGACACGGACATGCATGCTCTGTGGGCAGTCGAATGTCAATTATCGCAAAGACAACATCATTAAGCATCTTATCAAGCACAGAAACGACGCCCATTCACAAGCCATTGAATGGGACGGTGCAAAAAAACCCCTGCTACCGCGTCGATACTTTGAGGAGCGCGAGGATGTTAACTTGCCATGTTACATTGACGAAAAGTCCGAACCTTCCGAAATAACCACCAACCAGAACGGTATCTCATTTCAGCGTACAGTAGCTCAAGTAATGTGTTAGGTGATGGCGACGTCGATGGTGATGACGATTTCGATGCGCATTTGGAGCGACTGGTTAGTTTGCCGGTTTCCTTTCACTCCGAAATCATCATTCGAATGCTTGGGAGTTTATGCAAACAACGTGGTCTGTCTCTACCACCAGTTCCCACTAAAGCGGAGTCAACCCAGACCGCCGTTGCAACTGCAAGAGAAATTTTGAAGCCAACAACGCGTGCCAAAAACGACAAAGTGACGAAACTTTTGCGAAGCTTGGGTCATGTGTAGTATTGCAGTAGCTATTATCTTGAGCTGAAATACTGACACCTCATTACTACTGTGTTTTGGCCTCAGAAAACATTAATAAACTCAATCGAGCATACAACAAATAACTTCAGAAAACTTCAGCTACTTCAAAAAGACTTAGGATATCTTCAGA